TGTGTGTGTGTGTGTGTGTGTGTGTGTGTGTGTGTGTGTGTGTGTGTGTTTAGGGCCAAGCATGTGTGTTGGTGTTGCGGGCGATGCAGAGCAGGGAGGTTCAGCAGCTGCTGAGCGGTGCTCCGTGGACGGAGCTCTGTGTGACGGTCGCAGGTCAGCTGACGGCGGTAGGTCAACACCGCTTTACATCACAGGGGTCAACACTTTGCATCTGTGACCACTGAGATGCATCGCTTTGTATAATTGACAATTATATTAAACTTGTTAAACAGTTGCCTATTTACACATCCAGACAAGGAGCAACATTAGCATTGATGCAGTGTGTACGGGACTTCTAGCCGGAGCTAATTTACAGTCCTTCTCCCTGGTCAGGCTTTTAAGAGATAAAGCGCATAATAAAGCACTCTAATTCACAGTCAAATAAATTAATACAAATAAATACACCCAGGAAGTGAGGAAATGTGATTAGTTGTTCTGTTAACAAAAGGCTTAAAGGTTATGTAAGTTATTTGGAAATAGAAAACATTAATAATTAATAAACCAACTGCTAATTTGAACTCTTGTTTATACTGTTTGGTAGTTTAATCCTCAATAAAATCATTGTGTTTGTAGCATCGCTGTCCTTTGAGAACCATGTATCTCTATAAAGTTAACTTTTCATGTTCTCAGAAACACAGCCCTGTTTTCAACGTTTCTCCGCCATTATCATTTCCAATCCCCAAACTCAGGGTATCTGCTGATAACCAAGTACCCATTAGATACCAGCGCTCTCTTTTCCCCAATTTAAATTCTGTAAACCTCTGAACTGATTAAAAGTCATTTTTTTATCCCTAATATAACATGAGGCTGTAACTACCACCATCAATTCTTCACTGTCAGTGGAGACATTTACAGAACAACATCCTTTAGTCTCGAGGGCTGGGGTTTATTATATTGTTCTGGAAGGTTTATGAAATGTGATGAACTATGATTAGAGCTGCACCTGCTGAACTCTGGTGTCCACAGGACAGCTGAGATGTAAACAAGTTCATCATTTCATGCTTCTGCAATTCTTCACCAAACCACCTCACCCCTGTGTCTCCGTCCTTTTCCTCTGAGACAAAAACAGATCCACCAAACGACATAACTGATCCATAAGTTTCTGTTTTTAACTCCAAGATGTAACGTCAGCTCTCGTTTTCTGAGCTTCTCTACTTTACTGAGCTTTGTTTAATATAAACTGTAATGTTTCAAAATGACTAACAACTTTACTTTAAGTCTCCCTGTCTAACATTCCTAATGAATATAGTAAAACATTTGATGAATGGTCTTTAAAATGGTGTAATGTAGTTGTAAGCAGTAGGGCTCTACCTAATGTCTTCTATTGAGGTTTTCGAATTAAGCGACTGTCTGTCGTCATAGTTCATGTCGTCATAGCCCCTGCAAAAGAAAATTTAAAAAATTGATTAATTGAACATCTTTTTTTTTAATTATTACATTTTGACTTTTAGATTTAACATCCCTTTGGAGTTATTGGAAATGTTTGGATCACACGAGTGGGGAACAAAATTTATGCAGCTCCCGCTGGAGTCTAATTCTGCAAATTGTATAATACTCAAAATATTAATATAGTCTGATCTTCATGTGCAACTTCATGTGCAGAAATACCGGGTTTAAACTGAATGAATAGGTCTGCAAAAATAGGGATGTAATCAGAACTTTAACAACTACATTATAGTGTTAATGAAATATTTGTTAAATGTTTGCAGTTTGTTGAATAGAAGGTCTTAAACATGAAGTGTAAGCAGCTGCACAAAAGATTTTGGTAACATTTGCTTACCAGAGAAAAATCCCTATCAACACTTCCATTTCATCAGTGAAGACCAACCACTGCCTTCACGTTAAAACGCTTATTATTGTGGTGGCCTAGGGGTCTAAAACACTCGCAACCATTACTGTAACCATGTGTCAAACTGCATCATAGCTGTCAAATAAGAGGTGGATGGCAATTACTCGATCAGTTGATGAGGAGGCAAGTCTGACCCCAGTGTCTCTTTTCCTCTCAGAGTCTTCAGCAGGTCGGTCCAACTGAGAGCAAGGTGGTGAAGGAGAAGGTGGTGAAAACCCTGGAGCTCTGTCAGTTCCTGGTCAAGCACGTTCACCAGCAGGTAGGTGTGGGTCCGCGAGGGTGACGGTCAACTCCTGAGAGAGGGAAGCGTTGATGTGGTTTTGGTCCAGACTCAAGTCTCTGCTTCTGCTGCCTGCTCTTTGTAGAACTTCTCTGTGGACCTGGAGCCCCTTCAGAAGGTCCTGCAGTCCCTGACCAGCACCATCGCTTTCAAGAAGACCGGCAAGCTGGAGGACAACTACTGGGCCGTGGTGAAACACTTTGGAGTCATGTGAGTCTGCGGATCTTGCTGTTGTTGGGGGAAAATACTAATTTTTATAGTCATGTTTTTCTCTCTTTCTCTCTTTTTTTTTTTTATAAAAACTGTTGAAAAAAAAAAGATTGATCTGTGAAAAACAACGTCGCAGTTCTGCTGTAAAATAAGTTACAAAAAAAGTTGAAATAAAAATCTTTGCGTACAGTACTAATATCCTAAACTGGTGTGTGTGTGTGTGTGTGTGTGTGTGTGTGTGTGTGTGTGTGTGTGTGTGTGTGTGTGTGTGTGTGTGTGTGTGTGTGTGTGTGT